AAGGCAGTGAAATAGGGAAGTCCCTTCCCAAATAAATCATTCTTTCAATAATTCTAAGGAAGATTTCAAAAGATTTGTCACTTTCTGGCTAATTGAATTCTTTGTTCAATTTCCTTGAAAAAATGACATCATCAAGTCATGTGTACAATAATGTGGGGATTACTTGCGTGTATTTATAAATTCCATAGCCCCAATGGTAGATTTCCCTCCCAGTTAAGCAGCCGCTCTTACTTGTTTCTTGACAAATGTAACACTCTCCACTGAAGGGTGAGTGGAGGGTGTTACATTTGACATCCGCTGCTGGATGGCAGATTGCAGGAGCCACTTGGTACTATCAAACCAGCCCGACTTGGCACAGGTGCCAGCGTGGGTCTGGGAACCATCCTGCGTACCGTGGATTTTCAGGAGCCAGCCGGCCAATCCTAGGCACAGGCCCCCAAACAGAAACCACGGCCCGTTTACCTGGCAAACAAAACTCACCTGCTCCGCTTCTGGATGGCAGATTGCAGGAGCCACTTGATACTATCAAACCATCCTGACTCAGCACAGGTGCCAGCTTGGGTCTGGGAACTATGCTGCGTATTGTGGATTTTCAGGAGCCAGGCAGCCACTACCAAGAACAGGCCCCAAACATACACCACAGCCCTTTTCCCTGGAAACTAAACTCACCTGCCCCGCTTCTGGATGGCAGATTGCAGGGGGCACTTGGTTCTATCAAACCAGCCCTACTTGGCACATGTGCCACCTTGGGTCTGGGAACTATACTGCGTATCGTGGATTTTAAGGAGCCATCCGGCCACTCCCAGCCACAGGCCCCCAAACAAAAACCTTTCCCCTTTCCCTGGAAACAAAACTCACGTGCCCCGCTTCTGGTTGGCAGATTGCAGGAGCCACTTGGTACTACCAAATCAGCCTGACTTAGCACATATGCCACCTTGGGTCTGGGAACTATCCTGCGTACCATGGATTTTAGGAAGCCAGCCAGCCAGTACCAGCCACAGGCCCCCAAACAAAAACCTCGCCCCATTCCCTGGCAAACAAAAGTCACATGCCCTGTTCTGGATGGCAGATTGCAGGAGTCACTTGGTAAAATCAAACCAGCCTGACTTTGCACTGGGAACTATCCTGCGTACCGTGGATTTTCAGCAGCCAGCCGGCCAATCCCAGCCACAGGCCCTCAGCACACACCACAGACCATTTCTCTGGACAGAAAACTCACCTGCTCCACTTCTGGATGGCAGATTGCAGGAGCCAATTGGTACTATGAAATCAGCCCGACTTGGTACAGGTGCCAGCGTGGGTCTGGGAACCATCCTGCGTAATGTGGATTTTCAGGAGCCAGCCGGCCACTCCCAGCCACAGGCCCCCAAACACACACCACGGCCCTTTCCCTGGCAAACAAAACTCACATGCCCCGCTTCTGGATGGCAGATTGCAGGAGCCACTTCGTACTATCAAACCAGCCACACTTGGCACATTTGCCACATTGGGTCTGGGAACTATCCAGACCCAATGTATTGGGGATTTTCAGGAGCCAGGCAGCCACTTCCAGACACAGGCCCCCAAACAAAATCCTCGCCCCTTTCCCTGGCAAACAAAACTCACATGCCCCGCTTCTGGATGGCAGATTGAAGCAGCCACTTGGTACTATCAAATCAGCCTGAGTTAGCAGTGCTGCCACCATGGGTCTGGGAACTATCCTGCGTAACGTGGATTTTCAAGAGCCAGCTGGCCACTCCAAGCCACAGGCCCCCCAAAAAAAACCTCGCGCCTTTCCCTGGCAAACAACA